ACACTCTCTCTCTCTCACACACTCACTGCACACACACACACACTCTCACACACACTCTCTCACACACACTCACTGCACACACACTCTCTCTCTCACACACACTCTCTCACACACACACACTCTCTCTCTCTCTCACACACTCACTGCACACACACACACACTCTCACACACACTCTCTCTCACACACACACACTCTCTCTCTCACACACTCACTGCACACACACACACACTCTCACACACACTCTCTCTCACACACACACACTCTCTCTCTCACACACTCACTGCACACACACACACACTCTCACACACACTCTCTCTCACACACACACACTCTCTCTCTCACACACTCACTGCACACACACACACACTCTCACACACACTCTCTCTCACACACACACACTCTCTCTCTCACACACTCACTGCACACACACACACACTCTCACACACACTCTCTCTCACACACACACACTCTCTCTCTCACACACTCACTGCACACACACACACACTCTCACACACACTCTCTCTCACACACACACACTCTCTCTCTCACACACTCACTGCACACACACACACACTCTCACACACACTCTCTCTCACACACACACACTCTCTCTCTCACACACTCACTGCACACACACACACTCACACACACACCTGACAGCGAACATCATGGCGAACGTGGCGGATCTGCAGAGTAAATACAGTAAACTGGCTCAGGAGTATTCAAAGGTGAGCTCATCTTCATCATCATCATCAGACTTGATTCAGAGACACTATCTGGCATTTGTCCTTTCACCTTTTAACGTTTACAGTGTGTAAATCATTAAATGTGTATAGATGAACTCAGCTCTGTACTGTATGCAGTGGCTGCTTGCTGTATAAATGACTGCAGTGTGTGTGTGTGTGTGTGTCAGCTCAGAGCTCAGAATCAGGTGCTGAAGAAGGCCGTGGTGGACGAGCAGACCGCCTCCTGCTCCCTGAAGGTGTGTGTGACGTCTGGCCCGTTCATGCGGTGGAGGTCTGTTGTTGTGTGTTCATGTGTGTGTGTGTGTGTGTGTGCGTGCAGGACGAGCTGAAGCAGAAGGAGCAGAGCTCGAGGAAGGTGGAGCAGGAGATGGACAGCCTGAGCTTCAGGAACCAGCAGCTGACCAAACGAGTGGAGCTGCTGCAGGAGGAGCTGCTGCTGTCTGAGAGCAAGAGCAAGAAGAGCAAAGTGATCATACACACACATGCTGACTGTTCCATACATGACATATTCCATCTCCTAAACCTCACAAAACCCCTCTGCACATATTAAAACATATTTCATATTTCCTCTCGGTGACCGTTGGCTGGTCCTCACAGGTTAGCTGATGTTTTTGGTCTGCCGTACTCATGAGACACACACACACAGTTCTGTCAGAGCTGATGAGACGTAAATGAGCAGATCAGGAGCTCTTCTGTCCAGCCACAGGATTAGGAGAAGTTTTAGAAATTACAGGGACCAAATGAAATGCTCTGTTACTCTCAGACACGTGAGAGAGCGAGGATGTATGATGTGCATCATCCGTGATTGTGTGTGTGTGTGTGTGTGTGTGTGTTTAATGATGTCAGGTAAAGGCTCAGACGCTGGTAAGAGAAGCCAAGGACTGTCGAATCAGAACTGAAGAATGGTAAGAATTCACATTCAATCATAATTAAAGTGTAACGACTGTCTCTGATCCTTCATTCAGGACATCCGTTTCTGTTGTGTCCCATATCCAGATGGTAATTAAAGCACAGTGA